AGTCTGAGGATCTGAAATCAATCCTCAGGTTTCACACAGGTGAAAGAGACTGTTTGTCCTCTGACCTCCACACTCTCATTGTGCTACACACGCACCCACTTTATATGCACGCGCGCGCGCGCGCACACACACACACACACCCTCCACCCCCATATCAAATAAAAAAAACTTTTAAGTGGCAACAGATTAAGAAATGAGAATAGTCTTTTCTCAAGAATAATGGGGGGGAGATAAGGATAATGGTTTAAAGGAAGATAGATTAATATTGTAAAGATTATTATGAGACCAGGTCCTTAAGAGAAGTGTGCTCATCTACGTGTGTGAGGTTCCAGGTTCCATTAGCATTAACACACACACACACACACACACACACGCACACGCACACGCACCCAATTATTTGTGCACAGAAAGGGATTGCTACTTCTGAATTCCTAAACATCACTGTGTGACTCACTTGGCAATTAGCTAAGACATTTGTCTGCTATTGGCAGGACTGTGAATTTCAGCATTGCTGCCACAAATGCAATGTTCAACAATTCTGTTTCTCTGCACTTAAGTCAATAAAAGTACACAACCTTACACAAAAAGATGTTCCAAGAGAAAATGTCATGTGATTCTGCAGAAAGACTTAAGTAAGCAGTAGAGCGCTAATGACTTTTATAGCTCGCTTACCAGAGCCCACCTCCTCTCCCAAAAGAAAATGACTGGATCTGGGTTTTGGTTCAGTGGTTCAGTAGGTACCAATCATGCATAGGTGCTAATCCACAGCACCAAAATATGCTTGGTTTGGTTTGGCTTTGATCCTAAGGACTGAACCCAGGATCTTCCTTGTTCAACACTGAACTATATTAAAATCCTCAACCTATATTTTCCCTCTTTGCATTTAAGTTATTTAACTGTAAAATGGGGAGGAGAAAGTACATCTGGCAAAGATTAACACTGTGTTTAAAAACATTTTATACCCAACTTGGTGCTCAAGAAGTGACAGCGAGAGGTGCATGACCATTTCGTATCTAGAACCAGGCTTTCCAGGCTCAATGACAGGATTAGTAAACAATCAGGAGGAAAGCACAAACGGCACCTGCACCCAGAAAGAGTTTTCGAGGCTGGTTATTCACGTACCACCAATAGGATTTCTGACAACACGACCAAACCTTTTCCTTTTCCATCAGCCCACTTAGTTGCCTTGTAAGATAACTGTGAAGTGGAGAGCTTTATGTGCTGGTTATCTTTTTGCTCATTTATAATAACCATTAAATAAAGCTTCCATTTGCCTGCATTGCATCGCATCATCTCCCCAGTCAGTCTTAGCCTACCCTATGTTACTCTATTTCTGGAAGGGAATGGGGCCAGGAACTTGGGGGTTACTAAATTTTCTTGCTACTGGTTGTTTTCACTTACAAAGGTATACTGAGCAAATAATTATGACAAGCCAAATTACAATCATTTCAACAACAGACACCAAAATTTTTATGAAGTCCAAATTTGTCTAAAGCTAAACAGATAATCCAGCCAGCACTTTATCAAGTATTTAATCCTGCCACTTCTTTATTCTCTATTAAAATGAAAGTGAGGTTAAAAATACAGGTTCACCTTGACTTCTAAACTAAAGAACAAAACCAAGGCACAATAGAGATGCAGTTTTTGTTCTGAAGCACTAATATTCAAACAAAAGAAATGCTCCATATGCAAATCACCCACGTGAAAAATTGCCACCTTCAAGACAGAATGCAGTTCTAAAAAGGCAACGAACAGTTATTGACCCATACTCTTTCATGTCTGCACCACAATCCAAGACATTCTTCATCACGCCAACAACAAAGTTGCTGATCACAGCCAAGTGAGCTAAGAGTATCAACACTATTTTGCACAATTCTTGAGTCAGTCTTAAGTCACACTTTACATGCTTTTGCTTGTGTGTGTGTGCATCTGTTCACAGAATCCACAAGAGTGTCAGATGCCTGGAGCTGGGGTTACAGTTGTAAGCCACCCATCATGGGTGCTGAGCCTCAGGTTCTCTGCAAGGAGTACATGCTCTTAACTTGTTTTTTTGAGATGTGTCTCGCTATGCATCTCAGAACTGAAGACTGGGATGAGGTGTGCATGTCATCCTACCTACCAGACTAAACACTTTTTAGAAATCACTCCTACAATCTCTTCTCTTAGGATCTATCCAAGCCATCATTTTTTTGTGTGTGTATTGCTTACAGATGGTGTCTCACTATATTACCATATTGACCTCAAACTCCAAGGTTCAAGCATCCTTCTGCCTCAGCCTCTTGGGTACCTGGAATCATGCAGGCATATGTGACTGCCCATGACCACTGCTAAGATTTAAAAAAAAAAAAACAACTGAGAGTGTACCAAATTTGATCCCTGCACTCGAGAGGTAGAAGCAGGACAATCAGAAAGAATTCAAGCACAGCCATGGCTATACAACGAATTCAAAAACAGCTTGGAATACATAGGAACTTGTTGCCAAAAAAACTGATAAATATGACAAAATACACTTAGAGTTGGTTCTCAAAAGTTTTGACTGGTGGAGAATATAAACAAATTCAGACCTACGGGGTTCCTCTCTCCTGCCAACTATCAATCAAAACCTATTCAGCAAATAATAGTTGTAAATATTATAATAGTTACCTACTCAGAGTGAACAAACTGCTCTAGGTCTCCATAACCTTGGCCACTATCAGTGGGCTGTTTGTCTGGGCTAAGGCATGAAATGGAAAAGATTCAATGGATGGGGGAAAAAGCAGCCTCTTTTGACTACCTTAACCCTCTTCATGGGCAATCTGAAAAGGCACTGGCACATGCTCATCACTCATTAAGAAATCAATCACCACGCCCCCTGCAAAGAGGCTGCAGTTTTCATCGAGTGCAATTAGCAGAGTATTTGGATTTTGTTTTTAGTCTTTACTAAACCCTGGCTCCCTGGAGAGTCGTTATTGTAAATTCTCTGCAGCCAGCACAGTACTCACTAACCAGAAAGCACTTGGTAAAGGAACACAAGTGGATAAACAGAGCCTGCTTTCCTCTAGGTGCCAGTGAGGTAATCATCTAGCCATGGTGCCTCTTTAAAAAGATTCATCTTTCAACACTGTTGTTAAGAACACAAGCAGTGGAGTCAGACTTCATGGACATAAATCCCAGAATTCCAGCTCTATCATTTATTACTAGGTTATCACTGGGCAAGTGTGTAAAGCGCCTGGGTCCGCTGGGTTCTCCTACTTGGAAAAGAGGGGCAATACTGCTTCATGGGTTACTGTAAAGATCCAATGAGACAATTTTTAAAGCACTTAAGGGCTACAGGTGTAGTCCAACTTTAAGCACGTCCCCAGCACAAGCCCACCCCGCACAAAAAAGACAAAACCCTGCTCCACTAACACAGTCGTCACTTGTGCCAGCAATGCCAAGATAAAAAAAACAATGGGGTAAATAAAAATCCCTTGAAGCCTGGGTGGTGCCATTAAGAACAATTTGCAAGGAATGACTGCAAATGAATCTGCTTTGAAACGTGCAGTCAGGAAAACAGGCAAGTGGGGTTCTGGTGCAGTTACATTTTAAGTTAGCTCCTGATTAGATTGTTTTGCATGCAGGGTTAGGAGCTGGAAGCAAGGGTCTCCTGGTTAGTAATGACACTCTACCACTGAGCGCTGCCCCCAGCCCAGTACTGGCTTTTCAAATCGAAAAAGCTGTAATCTATGAAACCTAGGCAGATTTGATGCTGAGCGCTCCATGCCGAGCATCAGAGGATTCTAGCCACAGTCTCTAACCTCTGCAATATCTATCTCTACGTAGCATAGTTTTCTGTCTCTATTGCCTCTTTACTCCACCAGCTGCCACCTGTTTAGTTTCTCAATTTCCCAACCCCCCAACCCTGAGAGGACATCCCCCAAAACTCTGGTTGGGAAACCGGTTTGCAATTTCTTCCTACCTAACCCTGGCTGCCTTTCTGCTTCTCCTTCCTGCCCACCTCCTTCCTTCTCAAGCCTTACTATTCTCCACACGTAGGAACTTGAAACCTAAGAGTATGGGAAAGCAACAGCGTAATAGCAGTGGTGCCAAGAACCGGGGATGCTGCCAAGCTTTTCCCCAAGCTCCATATGCAGCGGCCCAACTTACTCACAGACTGGACTTACATTTAAGCCCATGGGGTCTCACACACTCGGTATTTCTTTTTGTTTCTGCTCGATTTTTGTAACTATTTAAAACAACCTCCTCCAAAAGCTGTGAACCATTCAAATCTAGCCAGTTCTCCCAGACGTAAGGTAAGGTCTGTCATCTTCAGGAAGTTTCCCTAGACCATTTCAGCCCACAGATATCAAACCACCCATCTATCCAAACAGGTACTGTACTTACTGTACCAGAAAGCATAGTCACCACGCATATTTACACCATAAAATAAATGTTCCATATTTGTTCTGCCAAGACCAGGAACGGTGTCTCATTCATGTCTTTGAAACCCCCTACTCAGTGTGGTCATCTTCCTAAACAGTGACTCACTCAGTGGACTGTTTCTTTGAGCTAAGGCATGCCAAGATAAAAGCATGCTGCGATGAAAAGGATTCAATGGATGGGGGGAAAAGAAGAAAGGTGTTCGACTAACATCTGTTTTATTTGCCATGAGGTTGAAAAGACATACAGGAGGGAATGTCAACTGGAAAATGAAGGGGAAAAACTGTTTCAGTTTGAGGGAGATGATAGCAAGAGACACATGAAATCCCAAAGAAACTGTGAGTCAATTCTGCTAAAGCCAACAGGTAGGCCAATGGGGTAAGTGAAGGGAAAGGGGGTTACTATGACGACATGGATAGAGATACAGCCATGTAGGTTCAGGGATTGGTATGAGGTCATGTGAAGGGGGCATAGGTGGATAAAATGGTCGCCAGTAGGTTAGCTGACTGAGTGAGTGGCAGGTAAGTCAGTAAATGGTTAGGTGTTTAGTCTGGAAGGAACAGGTGTGGGACATTTCATTTAAAATCTGACCCCTCCCTCACCTTGACCCGGAAGCGGATGAGTGCTAGCCTCACGCAGTGGCTCAGGCAGGCAGGTGGCAGGAACCAGGCCCGCGGTGGAGGGGTGCCCTTGTTGCCCACGTGTCCCACGATCAGTTGCGCAGTCTGCCGCTCCGCCTGGCACCGACGGCCCCATTCGGCCAGTCGGTCTTTCCCCAGGCCCCCAGGGAACATGACCACCAGCTCCAGGCCGTCGCCGCCCGGATAGGAACAAGCCTGGCACAGCGCTGACAAGTAGCCCAGCATGGCATTCCACTGGCCGCCACAAACCCAATCCGTCTGGTAGCCACCATAGAGCCGCGGCAGCGCCGAGCCCGCATCTACCAATACCCGAGCCCCAGGCAGCGGAGGGGGCGGCGGCGGAGGCAGCCCTGGCGGCGCTTGGCCGTGATGGTGGAAATGGTGAGCAGGGTGATGGTGCCGAGTCGGCCCCGCGCCCCCGGAGTAAGCGCCAAAGGCGGCAGGCGGGAGCGGCGGCGGCAGAGGAGCAGAGCCCCTGGTGATGCGTGGAGCCCCGGGCGCTAGGGCTGCTGGTGGCAGCTGGCGGTGCAGTTGCTGCTGCTGCTGCTGGCGCGAGACGGTGCGCGCGAGTTTGAGGAGGTCCACGGGCACCACGGCCCCGGGACAGCGCTTCTCCAGGAACTCTTGGAAGCCCTGGACGCCCATGCTTCCTCCGTGGGCAGAAGGAACAGCGGCTGCGCAAGCGGGCCAGGCGGCGATCCCCGCGCGAAGCTGGAGGCGGGCGCGTGCGCACTTCGCGGGGGGTATGGGGGAGGGGGCGGGGAAAGGGTTGGCGACGGGAGGGGCGAGGGAACGTGGGCGGGGAGGGGAGGAGACCACAGACTGGGTGCGGGTGAAGAGCAGAGGTGAGGCTGACCAGACTCAGAAGAGGCTGGGGAGGTAAAAGCGACGACAATTCCTAGTCACTTCTCTTTTTCCCGTTGCCCTCCGCTGCTCTTCTTCACTGCTTCAAAGCGGGTGAAGCTTCTGCCTTCCACCTCCGGGAGCCATGTTGCCTCGTCTTCTCTGCGATACTCGCTTTCTAGTTGGGGGAGGGGAGTGGGGCGGGGCGAATGGGCATCCTGGGAGTTGTAGTCTTTTCCCAGATGGCATCAGGATGCAGTGGAAGAACCAGACAGCCACCCAGGTCAGGCCTTGATGTGCACAACGTCAGAAGAAACGGGATATGAAAATGTGTGTCTAGGATTTGCACCAAAACTCCTTGTATCCAACTGCGTTGCCTCAGGATATTATACCGCCATTCCCAGGGAAAGGAATGGAGGTGATGCATCATGGGAAAGGATTGATTGAATTTGGCTAAAGTGAGCTAAAGTTCCCTGAGAGGGAGAATTTCCCCTTCCATAGAAAAGATAATATGCATAATTTTAAATGAGTGGACGAGAACACACATGAAGCATAACAACCATCACCATCGTTTTTAGCTACCGTCATTCTTTGAAGAGTTGAAGAGTTGTAAATGTGACAAAACATTTACCTAAGACAATATACAGACAAAATGAAATTGACTGTAATTTGCCCTGAGGATCTCTGATCAGGGAGATAAAGCACCCACACAAATTCACCCAGAACTTGAACCTTATTGGTACTCACTAAGCTATGCCATATGGTTCGAGGATTTGCTTTCACCCCATGGTTAGGAAAATTGCCCATGAGAGGAGCAATTCAAAATAGCTGCCAGGGTTCTAATCTGATGGCACTCTTTTGAGAACTCTGCAGCATGCCTCTCCGATGAAATCCACGTAGTGTCCGTCTTCTGTTGAGCTTTTAGGGTCCGCCCCTTCAGCCAGAATACAGCAGAAAATAAGGTCTGCGCTGAAGAATAGTTGCATCTGCCTTGGAGTTTCCTGAAAGGTGACCGACAGAACACGAAAGTGCAGAACCCAAAAGTGATCGTGATGAATGATGTCAGAAGGGTCTGTTAGGATGAAAATACAAACAAGCTACAAATTCTATAAAGGAATCTTTCAAAATAGTTACATAGATCCAGAATGGCAGGGATAGTGAAGCAAAGTGAATGGAAGGACAGTGGCTTGAAGGCATGAAAGATGAGAACGGATTTTTAGTAAAAATGTGCTTCCTAGATAGTTTCCAGCATCCCTTTCCTAGAAATTGGCCCACTCCTTGTTAAGCTGATAAGGTTACAGCAGAAAAAAACACTGTCATCTTAGGCATGGTGGTATATGCCCGCAGTCCCGGTGCTCAGGAGGTTGAAACAGGACAATCGCCTTAAGCTCCAGGCCGAGGCTACCTAGTGGTTTTGGGGAACCAATAAAGTAAACAAATACTAGCGTGTTCACGTATTCTTATAGTACCATATTCTAACTGGGTGTGGTGGCTTACAGCTGTAAACAAAACATTTGGAAAGTTGAGGCAGGAGGATTGACACAACTTTGAAGGTAGTGTTTTCCAGGTCAGTCAGTGATACAAATGAAACAAAACAAACAATAAAGGGAAAAAAACTAAACCCACAAGACAACAAAAAGAATCGAATCATAAGGCACTTGTGAAAATGTTAGCCACAAATGAAACATCTTCAGAGGCAAACTCCTGCATTACTCTACCTTCAAAGTATCCTTTGGGCTGGTGAGATGACTCTCTGGTTAAAATGCTTGCTTTGCAAGCACGAGGACCTGAGTTCAGTCCTCAGAGACCACCTGAAAAAGCCAGGCTCAGTGCAGTGCACTTGTAATCCCAGTGCTGGGTAAGCAGAGACATGATTCCTAAGGCTCAGTGGCCAGGCAGCCTGTCTAATTGATAAGTTCAGATCAATAAGAGACCCTTATTGAGCTGGAGGACTCCTAAGGGATGATATCCAAATTTTGCCCTGTGGTTTCCACAGGCACACATGAACACACATCCAGACACACGAGCGTACCTGTACCTACGTGAAAGCGTCCTTTTATTTTCTGCTAAAACTTTGTGCAAAAAGCTGAGAATTCACAGAGTATTCCTCTTCTACCTGTTAAGCCTTTTAATGCTCTGTGAACTTGAGCTATGTCTAGAATTTTTTATCTTTCCCTCTTAAATGGTGCTTTTAAACAGCATACTTGGGACTGTGCTCCTTAACTGAGCAGGCAAACAAATACTGCCCCCGCTACAGTGCTTTCCTATATGACTCTATAGGCTCCCTAAACCCTCATTCCTTTGTTCAAAGAAGGAAGTACTTTGGAATTAACTCCCATGTAGGGAAAGAGCACACCCTGTGTGGATGAGCGTGAATGACATGAGCGCAGCCACGTCAAGGAGCCCAAGGCCTCAGACTCATGGGAATGATGCTACTAGTGGGCCTGCAAAATATCAAGACAGCTTCCTCCTCCCCAGTGACTGCAGCCTGAGACTGCTCCCCACAGAGCTCCCCTACCAAGCTTAGCTAAGGGGCCTCCCATTACTGCTGTATATGATAAACGTGCTGAGTTTCCAGGCTATTGCTGCTGGCTCTCCATCAGGGTGCAAGGCCCACGCAATCCCAGCTTTTCAGGATGTGTCCTGCCATTTCTTCATTCTCCGTTGCCCCAAATCAAATCAATCCCAAAGCCATGCTGGCTGAGATACTCATGGTCTCCTATCTGCTTTGAGTAAAAAATGTTTCTCTGCTCTTTTTTATCTTGGCTGTGCTTTTTCCTTGGTTTATTTTGTCTTTGCACTCACAAATGTAACATTTGGTTACAGAAAGAATAACCTATCCAGAAATGAGGCATGGCAAATTACAAACCCTGAACATGTGGACTGATAAGGACAGCAATCCTTTAGCCTCCGTTGATGGGAAGGGAGCTGACATTTTGTAAGATGTGGCTGGCAGTGAGGCAGTTACTTGTGGCTCCCAGGACTCAGAGAAGTCCTGGAGCTGGGCATGTAGTTCAGTGGTTGAGTTCTTACCAGCTTCCAGGCCTCAACGCCACGAACAAATAAAAACCAAGCAAACCAGTGCTGAGCTCAGCTTCTATTTCCTTTCAGGTCTCTGATGGAGAGGGCCTTGAGCAGAAGGCAGAGGGAATGAGCAGCATCCTCCGAGTGCCAAGAAATAGAAGCTGCAGCCGTGGTCGAGCACTTGCTTAGCGTGCACAAGACCAGGAGTTCCAGCCCCAGCACTGGCAGAAAAAAGGGAAGAGAAAGGAGACCAACGACAAGATTTTGAGTACCTGTTATTAACACTTGTTACTGGGAGAGCTCCCAACGTGAAACCAGTTTTCACTCAAATGAAGATTCAGAGCATTTCTGTCAGTAGGCAGTCACATCTGGTGAACCAGGATCATAACTGACCGTCCAGAGCAGGAGTTCTGGATCAGCACATCAGCAAAACCTGCCAATGATTCTGAACAGGATTTTCCCACGCCTAACGCTAGATTCCCAGCCTTCGAAACACTGAGCGTAGACCTCTGTGCTTTCAGTAGTGTCAAAGATAAACGAAGCCAGACAGTGTTGTAAACAGAGTTTTCTCACTAACTACTGACGGCAAAGAACGAGCTGAGCTTTGTTTCCTTTTGGACCGAGAAGAGTGGGAGAATGGGGAAACAGGGTGGGGTGGCATAGCATCAAGGGAGTAAAAAAAATTACACAAGACTGATCAATGGAAATGTGATTGGGTCAAGTGTGCATGCTGGCTGGGAATTAGATTTCTGCCCCACCAACATGGGGCAGACAGACAGAGGCCCTATTGTTCCTGACAATTAGGTTTCCAAGGACTGCCTCACAGGTCGTTAGGAAAGCCACTCCTGAGTTGAAGGAGAGATGCTCACGTCTCTAGGGGACAGAAGGAGGATTGACAAGTATAAAAAGGGCCTTTTTGTAAATGTTCTAAAGTGGATTAGTTATTGCGCACAACAAACAGAATTCTTTTGATAACCCCGTTTTTCCTGCATTCTCCTGGTGATTTGGCCTTGGGTTGCTAGACGCCCTGTTAATTAGGCCGAATCTCTTAGTGCAGGGCTATGGAAGGGGTATACTGGTGCATTTTGCAGACCCCTCGGGCCATCTGGGAAATTCAAGCGCATTTCCAAACTTCAGAACCTCATTTTGAGCACAATCCTGGCCTAAGTACAGCTGGTTAAGTAAGAACACAATAAGCAAAGGACTCCCATGGGGTTTCCTATACCTGAGATTTATTTCTGTCATCCCAATCCAGGTGGAAGGGTACGTTCTCAGGTTTAGTGATGGATCAATGTGTGCCTTCGTCCCTGAAAGGGAATTTTTTAACGTGTTTATTTCTGTACTGTTACATATTAATCTTCTGGTGAAAGCTACATTCATCAGAGATTGCAAGTTTCCAGGGAGACACATATTATTGTGACTGAATTAGAGGAAGAGGGGTATCTCCATGTGATACCATCATATCCGGATCAGTGGTTGCTGATGACTTGCAGTTAGTTATCCATGGATTTGGTTGAGGTAGTCATGTTTCTAATTGTATTTATGGGGGGTGGCATACATGTTTCATGTTTATAGAGCAACCAAGAAGAGCATTATGGGTAAAGAGCTCTCAGGTTGTCTTTGCACTCTATTGTTTCGGCTGTACGAGATCTCCTCTCATGAACTTTCCCAGAGAATTTGGGATAGAGTTAGGAGGGAATCCCAGGCATATCAAATAATATATACCTTTGTTTCTAAGGTCCATTTGCATTATCGCTGGCTTTTGTGAGGCCTCCATCTTTATAAATCCCCTTCTTGATAAAACTTGTTCACATTTGCTCTCTTTACATAGACACAAGTGTTTTATTAACATGCATGTGGGGAAAAGTACAGTGGGTATAGGCCATAGAGAAGGTAGAAATGGCAGATGCCAAAGCCCTGGAAGCAGAAGGGGGTGTGAGGAGCCATTTCCCTCCTAAAAATTATTACAGGAACCATCACCCTGGGGAGTCTGCAGAGAACCAACCCCACACCCATAATTATGTTAAGAATCATTCTATTGACAAAACCTGCCCCACACCCAATTAAGCTGTTAATCGAGAACTTTCTGTTAGCGGAACCCGCCTCACATTCCAGCTATCCAGGGAACTAGGTGTG